ATTAGGTGTGTCCCGCGCGCTCATATGACCTTATGCAGTTGCGAGCGCCGTAAAACCCTATACTAAACAAACAAAAAACAAACGCAAAACCTTTATGTCTAAATATATGCATGCTGTTTGTAAAGCTTGTTCAGCTTAGATGAAAGAGGGAAAAGGTATGAATGTGTACTTTACTTCTACCCCTTGAGGCGGTGCCACTGACTGAAGTGTCCTTAGGCCATTCCCAAAGGGGGAACATTTCTCGTTCATGTACAGTAGAATTGTAAATGGGCTGATTCATCAATGTCACGCTCATAACTGTGCCTGATCTACAACAGGGAACTGCTGCTTTTTCTTTGCTAATCCTTACTATTATCTTATCATTCTTACTCTACTTCTTTTGTATGTTTGTCACCCGCGATTTCCGGGGTGCCTTGATAGTCGAAGCAGACTTTGTGCTGACGAAGCTAGAGAGGTGAGCAGAGTAAGTCTGATTCCCTGTAAGGACTTTTCTGTTGACATCCACCCCTTGGCGCTCACATGACCTTATGCGTTGCGAGTGCCGTAAACCCTACTAAAACTAACTACTTTACTTCATCACAAACTTCTCTACTGTAATGATAAAAAGAAGCAAAGTTTGCTGCAAAGTGATGAAAAGCAAAAATCAAACAAGAGAGCAAACGACAACGTTGCATCAAAAACCTGCTTAATAATACCGGTAACAGCTTAATTCAGCGTAGCGATGGATAGGGTGAGCTTTGCTCCGAAGTCTGGTTTCCCGTTAAAAAGAAAAGTATGGCGCATCCTTAGCTGTAGATCTATTAGCTGGTGCACAGGCAAGATTTTCCCTCATTCTGCATCGCACGGGTCGGATGAGCCCATGCAGTTGATGCAGGAAGACGAAATGTTATTATGCGACATGAAGAAGATTCGTGGTGCGCACTAGCTTGCACTGAGAGCCTTTTCGGGAGATCCCCGTTGTTTCTGAGGTTCGTATAGTTTTAGTAGGAGTTTCGCGGCACTTGCAACACTATAAGGTAATCGAAGATTAGAGGTGTTTCGAGAGAATGACAAACACAATAAAGGAGAAGAGATCAGGACAATAGGTGTTTGATAGCTTCTCCTTTCCAGGGTTCCGTGCATGCTGGAAAGCCTTGCAGGTTACGAATAGCGGGTCTAAGTAAAAGATGCCTGTTGGTCAAATGCATGATCTGGTCGGATTGGATCGGATCGGTTTCGGTAATGATGCTGGTCTGTGCACTATTAGTCTCAAATGACCTCTGCTTTGCTTCATCAAATTGAACTTGAAATGCTGTGACTCTAATAACACTTCTAATTTTCTATTCTCATATTATTATATAACCTAGTTGTGTTGGTAGTGCCGTAAAACACTTACTAAAACAAAAACAATAATTACAGTTACGCGGCAGTTGTCTTTCTCTCTTTCGGTCCTCAGGTTTGGACATGCCACAGTCAGAGTACAAGTTCGGAATATGAACTTACAGATCTAGTTGCAACCTCGCTGTGTGTCCATTCTTACACAATACATGACAGAAGACTGCACAATAATATGGCGTTTGGAGCAGACAGGTATGTTAGTTGTTTGTTCCCCCCCCCCCCCCAACGGCAGTGCTACTGACTGAAGTGCCAATCCCAAAAAAGGGGGGGGGGGGTATTAACATGTTCTTATGCACAGTAGAATTGTAAATAGGCTGAGTAATCAATGCCATGCTCGTACAGTGCCGGAACAACATAGGGGGAACTGCTGCTTTTTCTTTCCTCCTTCTTACTATCGTCATTTTCCTTTAGAAATCTACTTGTATTGCATGTGTTTTGTATGTTTGTCACTCTCTTGTGACCCACTATTTCCGGGGTGCCTTGATGGTACAAGCAGACTTCGTACTTTGTACTGTTGAGGCTAGGGAGGTGAGCAGAGTGAGCCTGATTCCCCGTTTGGACTTCTCTTCTGACATCCACCCCTTGGCGCTCATATGACCTTATGCAGTGGAGAGCGCCCTAAAACCTCTACTAAAACTGAAGTTTTTGGCTTGTCCATTTGCTCTCCTCTATCGTCTTACGCTTCTCGGGTGCGCACGTGCACGTGTGTGTGTCTGTCTCTGTTAGTGCGGGTGTGTTTGTGTTTTTTGTTTCTGTTTGTGTGTGTGTGTGTGTGTGCGTGTGTATGTGTGTGTGTGTGT